TTAAGTCTAAATACATACGTAAGCTGTATCATTTCCACTCGTGCTGATGATATTATAATATTGTACTCGTAATTCTTCGGCAGAGAAGTCCGTACCCTCTATTAAATTCGGTTCTTCTTTTGCCGGTCCGTACGAGGAGTACTTGTACAAAGGACGGTCTTTGGATAAATCTGCTCTTACAGATTTTTCGCTAAATTATTAACAAAATCTCCATTAGTGTTCCGGTCGGTTCTTATCTTCAAAACCATGCCATGTTAAAAATAATAATAAAAATAAAATAAAAAAATAATAATGCTAATGCAATACTTACTCATATATTTTGGTAGCAGTAGAGTGACCTGTTAATGTAATTAAAATTTGAATAAAAAAGGTTAAAAATAGTGTTCCTCCCTATTTCCTAAAAGATTAATCAAAAAGCATATATCGAAAGAAACTTTGATCTTACCAAAACCACCTAATCGGGATTGTAATTGGGTACTCGAACCTGTAGCACCAAAACGTTGATTATTACGTTGTTGAGTCTCAGGTGGATGCTCATTTCTACAGGTTGAGCCAAAGCTACATCGACCCTCCAAGAAAAACTTACAAACAGTCATATTATTTGATTCCTTCTTGTGAGAATTTCTACTATTCAATACTTGTCGTATGAATTGGAATTGTGGCTAATACCTTGACCCAGAATTGTTCAAATAAAATGTCTTTTTATATCTCCTCCTTTTATAGGATCAATAACGCTGAATTATCATTGGCTAAATCAAATTCTAGAAAGTATGACTAATTATTTTTAGCTCTAAAAGACCCCGTAAAAGGCAAAGATTCACAATGTTCGCGGGTGAAGGGTTTTCTCTAACATACTATAGATTTCAAGCCTCCCGTCAGTATCATCCGAAAGTCTAATTGGTTGAATACCGAGCCACCCATGATAATAGCCACAAAAAACGTTCGTTCTTTTTTTTTTTGATTTCCCCAACAAGAAACCAAAAATGGAACCGAATAAGCTTAACGTGCCTTCGTTAACGATCATGGCATTTCACGTATTACTTCACGTTACAATCCTTGAAGCTTGCCATGTTTGGACGAAGCAAGGACTTATTGACGCGTTTTGTAAAAACAACAAAAGTGGCTCGGTAATTTTACATTTTCATTTAAGCAGTTGCAAATGACGTTTTCAATAGAAGTATCAACTGTCACCACTTATTTTATTATTTTTTTTTCTCAGAGGCGACGCAAAGTTCAAGGATTGATTGTTCGATTGGTCCAAAAAGGTATAATAAATTCATTAACAACGCGTACAGATAACGGGAATCAAGAAATCATTATATATTGGATTGGGCCAAAATTGAATGATCGTGGATCATCTATCAAAGAATCACGGCAGGATTCAATAGAATTGACACCAAAATCTGAACCTAGTGCAAAACGACTTTCTATTGGAAACAAAAGCTCACGTCGCTCAATGACATCTATAATAAGCAAGGCGCAATCAAAGTTGAACTCATCGTCACCATTGTCTCCTAATAGTCCTTCTGCGCGTTCTTATAAAACTCCATTGAATAGAAAATCAACAAAATTTAAATCACCATTTAAGTCACCTCTATTTCGTGAATTACACGATCCAGAAACAAAAGATATAACAAATCAGGAGCGGGAATTGAAAAAGGAAATCGCTAATGTTGAAGAAAATATCAGAAAGGCAAAATTAGTATTGAAATACCAAGAGACGGTAAGAACACGCGGTGATTGATGTATTTGTAAATTGCATGTTTGCTAAACTAAAAAAAATCTCATACATTAAAGAATGAAGGTAGCGTTAATGAACTATTAATTATGAAATGGCGTCGGGCAAGTCAAGAAGCTGCGGAATATTTATTTTCAAAAATCCCAAAAGAAAAGTCATTTTTAGAAGAGGCAGGTTACTCAAATGCTTGGGGAAATTGGGGATGGGATGAAGAGGGTTCGAAGAAGCAAAGGTCAAGTTATTCAGACGATGAGGAGGATTATAAAGAATTACATGAAAAGAACAATGAGCTTAAACAAAACACCATGAAATCCATGCTTCTACGGATGGGAATTGACCTGGAATTGATCAGGTGGAATGAGGATGATGAATGCTTTGAACAATAGAAGAATTCTTTTTTTCATAATATGGGAAAGGTTCATGTATAATGAATTATTAAAAAATATCATGATTATATTACAGCATTGCTTTATTATACAAATGACCATCAAGTCGAAATGTCTCGAATAATTAAATTAATTAATTCATTAATACTCTAACAACAGCTGTCACGTTCGTTCTTCATCAACAACTAATTCGTCCCCAAGTCCAACAAGACCACCATTATTTTCCATATCGATTTTTTGAATGAATCTTTGAGAAGCAGCTTTTTCAACGGTTTCATTCATTTTATTATAGATATACCAAGCTGCAAAGAATAATAGTACGAAACCGACAGCTAATGTAACATAATTAATTATACGAGAAGTTGTATCCATTTCTTCAGATAAATTACGAAATCTTGAACCCATGAATATATATATTAATAATTTTGGCAAACTTAAAGCTGTGGCTATAAAGAATTTCCAAAAACTAACAGATTGGATGGTACCAAAAAATGCATTTGACCAAGGAAATGGAAAAGGACTTAATCTTATTAAAAAAATTATCTAATAATAAAGAGAAAGGTAAAAAAAAAGTCAGTTTTTTTCTTGCGAAATTGGAGTTTTTTTTTTAGTTTACCTTGAATCCACCTTCTTCTATGGCCAATGATAATTTTTGAAAATTGCTTTGTTTTTTTGCTAGTTTTCTAGCATAGCCAAGACATATTGTTCGACATAAACTATTATTTTACACGAGAATTAGACACTTTCAACCTCCTTTTTTGTTTGTTTGTTTAGAGAAATTGACTTACTAGAAGCTAAAAGATGCGCCTAGCAAAGCGGAAAAGAATGCTGGAATAAATCCAAGTGGGAACCCATATATATATCCACAAATAATAATCGTTGATCCATATCTATAAATTAAATGGTTGTTAACTCAATTTCGAGTAAAAACACTAATGAAACAGGTCGACTAACCCTGGAACTGGTGGGATACTAGAAATGATAATAATTCCTCCGATAATCAAAAATCCAAATTTTAGATCACGCATTTCTTCTGCAATTGGAGCTATAGCTATTAAAATCAAATATTTAATTTAAATTATATTAATTACATAGTGTGTATTTTTTTTGTATAATTTTTTTAAAAATCATTTTTTTTCTTGTCTGGGATCTTTTTTATCTTTTCAAAGATGCTTACAATAAGGATGAATATTATGAGTATTCACAATACTTTGGTCATTTTGAAATATATTATTATTATTATTATTATTATCCATATTACCTCTCATGATAGGTTTCTCAAATATAATAAATAAAATAGTCAAAGTAATGACTAATATTGATGTTAATAATAATGTTATTTTTTTCCTTCGCGTCATTGCTCGAAAAAATTCAAGTATATTTGACATGTTTTTCAGTTAAATATATATATATCGATATGCAAGTAATTTATTTGTACAAATAAAATTTTGACGAAAAAAGAAAATTCGGGATTATTTATACTTTTTATTTATTTACTAAGATCAAAGATTTAAACCATATACGATCAACTTGATTTTTAGTCGCATAGCCACTTGAAAATAAAGCCACATTTTTCAAGTCGGAAACATGAATCAATGCCCAAAGCTGGAAATTATCTATATTATACTATTCCAAGTATATTCTAATATTTATTCAGATGTGGATGAAACAAGCCCGATAAATTTCAGGATCGTAATACAAAATATTTCTTACATGAACCTTATCATACCAATTTTGAGATTGATTTTGAACAGTAGCTTTTATCAAAATTATTATTATACTTTTATTTGTATATTTTTCTTTTAATAAATTTTCATACGTTAATCAGGGTTATTAAATTTATACATAAATTTTTTACAACTAAATCTTCTTGTTTCTAGAAAAATAGTCCTAGAAATTCATTATAGACATATTTCTCGTGAATGATAATGATGAAGCAACATTATTATTTCCAATAAGAATAGTATAAAAATATTAACAATACTTAATGGTAACGAGTTTATTATTACTGTTTTAGAACCTAATACTTCACCTGGTCCAAGATTTCAAGCTAATTGTGATTTAGAATATAGTGAAATATATACAACCTCATCAGCTACAATAACATCATTATATCAACGTTTGTTTAATATTAAAACAAAATTTTCTGGGCCTAAATTATTAGAAAATATCTTATTTCAACCTTTTGAAATTGTAGTTTTTGAAATTGGATAATCAAGAAATCAAGAATGTAATTTTGTTGGAACTGGATATCAATCTTTATAAATAAAATTGGAAAAATCTGCTATTTATATATATTCAAAATTTTACTACTAACAAATGCAATATCATCATTTATAAAAAAAAACAATTTATGACTACAGTCAAAGCTGGATATAATGATATTTTTGTTTTAACTAAAAAATATCGGTATATCAAGATATCATTATATCAAATTATCTTTATTTAACGATATAATAAAAGAAAAATATAT